AATCGATCACTTGATCTTAACTCACAGCAGTTTGAACGGCTGTTGCGAACGTTTTTTCTTCTGGTTCAGCTCTTTATTTCTCAGCCCCATTAATATGGTGGTGCTCAAAACCAGACACTGGTGGCAAATTCGAGTGATATACAGCCTTGCTATCGTTTGAGACGCATTCAGACGGCCTGAGGTGATTTGAAAGCTCGCAGTCTAGTTCACCGTATGCATTAGTCATTTTTCCTGATCACCTCCTTTCTATCAGACACCAAGTCGCGCTTTCTGCTTGTGCATTCCAGTTTAATGGAGACATGTTATTGCATTGTTGATGTAGTTTATGCCTTTCAAACCACCAAGATCTTGGTCAGACGAAATAGATAATGACCCAGTCTCTGATGAGAAAAGCTATGATTTGGTGTAAACGTTCACCAATCAACAAAATCTAGCCAACTCCTGCACGGCAAAAAACGTTCAAACGGAACCATATAAACCAATCAAGTAATACGTTGTTGATACAATAACTAATCTTTATACCTGTAACCGAAGGAGAGAAGTGTCCTAATCTGATTCACTTGAATGATTTGTTTTTCCTTTTTCCGTGAAACTGTAGCTATATTTTTAGAATTCAGCTGCCAAGACATTCGTTCGGCTGAATAAGTTTGAGAAGATTTTAAAAGTGATGCTATGCAGTAGTATGTGCACTCTTGTTTTCATTTAACGGTCTCAGATGCATGGATAATGTTTTTTAGACTGGAGTAGTCGTCTGTATCACAGCGCCTGGGATTGAATATTCGAAAGCCAATGTAATCGCAGGACTCTTTTGTTGTTCACTCGAAGGGTAAGCATTTTACTAAATCAAATTTAACACTGAACTGCTTGCATACCTCTTGTGATATATGATCCCATTGAACGAGAGGCTGATGAGTTTCAACTTGTCAGGGAACAAAAAGGTGCTTGGAGGAGCACCCGCAGCCGTTAGTTTCGCCTTAATCCCCCTATGGGAAGCAGAATCATAGTCTTTGAATAAAATGTGTCACACCCGATTCGGGCGAACTTACATGTTGTGTTTGCAATTGCCTCAGTCGTTCTTCCCGGTAGGCCAGTTCTTCTCGTAGACCCTTGGCTTCGGCTTCGAGGCTGGAAAGATGTTTCTTTACATTGACCAATTCGTCGCGTATTTTGAACTGGAAAGGAAGAAGGTGGTCGGTAACGCAGGTAGTCGATTAGATGCGAACGCGAAGATATAGGAGATAGAAATTTAGCAAAAAAACTTATACAAATATTTAATACTTTTATTCTCCATATAAAAACACATTTGAGAATACATCCTGCTATAAAACAACCAAAGAACCAAACAAATAAACAAACGAACAAGCAAGAAGCTCAACCAAGTATCGTTTAACCTCGGAGCAGCTTAGTGTGACAGTTTTGATTTGAATAACACTGCACCAAACAATTTGTTTTGATATGCTGTATTGCCTCTGGAGAACAACTATCGAAAATATGAGCGATTAACGAACTGAATATAGGCAAAATAAACTTGAGAGAATAAGAGGACTAGGGGTGAATTGGGTGGAGAACGGAGTTCTTTGGTTGGTTGCTCAGTTTTGTACAAATCGAAAAGTGGTGGAAAGTAGATTTGACAAATGAACTATGACATCTGACATATCATTTCAGTGTTCGCTTTAATTCCCAAGCATGCCCATCTCCGTGCTTTTAGACGTAGAGCGAATATGAAATCAAAGCACTGGTTATTGATAAATTCATAGCTCAAATTGATTAAGAGCATCGCAAAAAAGCGACTTAGAGGTCGTGGAGGTGAATCCCGCTAACGCTTTCCGTCTTCCTGTTTTTGTGTAATCCTTCCGATAGTTTTGACTAGTAGCAACCCGCTTCCTGAAACTTATCTATCTAGACGAAAGTGTGTACAATAAATAGAAAGGCAGTTACATTTTATACAACCAGCATGATGGTTCAGTGATTTACACAGATAAACATGTTTTGGAGATTTGTGCGGTATTCTTATCCTATAAAGACATAAAAAATCAAGTATTCAAATGAAATATTTTGGTTTAGATTGGAATAGACAGGAGTACTATTAGGAAAATTAACATTGAGCTATTTAAACCGTTTTCTGTGCCTTTACTAGCGTGAGCTCATGCATTGATCCAAGTTCTCACTGATAGAAGATATACTGTTTATCTACCAGTAAATTTACAATAAAAATCAACCTATCTTGTGAGTTTTTGGTTCCTGATCTTGTTCGAAGAATAGTTAAAAGCTAAGAAACAAAACTCATTTGCCTTTTTGTTTCTAAGGCGTTAAATGTAAGTTGTTTCGAGTGGATTATCGCTAATGATACTCGCCGATACTGCAGTTGATTTTCCGGCAATGACCTTTAACCTAATCAGGGTCGTGAAATTATCGCCCCGTAGGTCCTGTGTTCGACCAACACCACCATTGGAGCTTACCTTCACCAGTGCATAGCAAGAAGCTTCTCCATGGTCAAAAATGTGTGAAGTTTTGCACTCAGTAAAAAGAAAACAAAAAGAAAAAAAACAACCATTACAGAGCTTATTTATTTATTTATTACTAACGTCGCTTCAGGAACGATCCTGACATCGTTGAGTTTTGCTATTTTAATTGAGTTGGAAAAACCAAAACGTGAGTGAATAAAGTGGATGAAGAAAATCAATAGAAAACTATCAACAGTACAAATGCGGTTCGAGGGGCGACAAGTGATTTTTTTCTCATTGTGTGTATACAACATTAAAGATTACAGTGCGAAAAAAACAAGATAATAACACTGCACATCGCAAAAATAAGGTGGATTCTCAAATTATGGCAGGTAGTGTCAGTTATGTAGTGGAAGAGTAAAGATGGATATTGCATATCCATTTTTACTCTAAACAGAACAATTGACAAGGGAGACCTGAAATGGATGCTGCTGTTCACTTCTTGGAGACCCTAAGTCAGATCATGTACTAACCACCGGGACCAGAAATTGCAAATAGTGATTGATACCTAAGGCAGAGGTCAGGCATACACGGAGCCCATATCTCATTCATTGTAATCAATGTAATTGTAATCAGTGTTGCGTATTTATGTTGGGCAGAGAGCGTCTATCTCTTTCCAATACACATGAACCTCTTTGTCACTCATAAAACGGTATCGCAAATAGGCAGGCATTGCATCAGGGATAAACGGTAGACGTCCACAGCAAATTAATTTAAAATGAATTTAGAATAAGAGCAATGTCCAAATCGTTGGGAACTTCAAAACGGTAGTTTGGATCTGTTTTTAGATTAATCTGTAGCGTTCTCCGACATGGAGGGTTTTAAACAATTCTTCATCCATCAAACGAAACAACAGGTGACCCCAGTGGCAGATGGCTAACTTGATCGGAAAGTTGTTCTATTATTTATCCACTGTATACTCGGCTCGGTGGATATTGAGAGTGTACTACAGACACCCTGGAACGGTCAACGCTAGCCTGGTTAATGTTAAGCACCATGTGATGTTGTCCTCAATAGTCCATCAACTTTGCCTTAGTCCTGAGGAAAAAAATAGCTGTGGATTACATTCCGATGATAATCAACAGGAACATGTTGCAATCTGCCACCGCAAGAACGAAAACCCATTCTAAACGACCGCATAAATTGCTCTGGATACCCTCGGGTTAAGCAGAGATGAATGCTACCAGGCGCCTCCCCAGGTTGTGGATAAGGGGATATCTTCACCGAAGGTTAGCTAGTTGTGGCATACCGCAATAAATAAGCAGTCGCGAACAAATAGCGGCGACACTACCAGGGTGTGGTAGGTTTCGGGCTAGTCACCTGGCTTCTGTTTAAAAGCCGCATAAGTCCAATGACGTTATCGTGACAAGAGTCGATGTGGCTGGTTGTGCAAAGACTAGAGGTGCACCCTCAAAATAAAAGAACACCGAGTGACGCTGCGGACGTCTGTTATACCAAACTCCCAAGGAACTTCATGATTATAATCATGATCATGTCTGGAGCCGGCTTATCCTTTCCAAGGAGCCAACCAGCCGCAGTAAAGTAAGTGAAGCGTAAATTGCGCAGGCAGATGGAGATAAAGTGAAAGTGAAAATGAAGTAAGAAATCGGTACTATTCACCTTCATACAGAGGTCCATACGGACAATCTTACTTACCGACTCTTTCTCCACCGCCTCGATGCGATTCTCCCTTTCTTGAATGGTGTTTTGCAAATAGGTTGCATGATGCCGCATATCATCCAGTTCGGCTTTTTGTCGTCTCATCTCCTCCGTTTGTTTGGACTAAGAGTAAACAGTGAACATGATTGGGAGAGAGTAAACTATGTGCAAAGGTCAGAAAGGAGCAGGTTGGAGTGAATTGCATGCACACACACGGAGAACAAGATCGCATTTTACTAAAGGCCTGAGACCACCAGCACTGTGAAATATTTACTTAGCAACTTCGTATCAAGCTGAAAACGCAGAACTTGTTTACTTATCATTGTACGATCACAAAGCAGTTCTGCTTATCACACGGAATCATTTATAAATTCTCAATACGTACAGTTTGTGTTGAGCTAAAAGACATGCCAGTCCATAATCGTAAATTGTGTTTAACGCATTACTCACTAATTTTACCATGGAGAAATGCACGGCACTTGCATTTAACTCACAATTACTTGTGAGTAGCGGTGTGAGATAAGTGATGTTGATGTGAACTGATCATACTTCACATTCCATCCTCATACCCAATACTCAGCGCGTCTATTCAATTATACGTCCACCTAACACAAACGTGGGTTTCACTCTTATTGAGGCTCGTTTTTGGTGCATGGCCATCTTAGCATCCAAGATGTGCATTGAGGATTGCTCGTGAAAACGTAGTTCGAAGGATGTTCAGTCACAATCGGTTAGACGTAATGTGCACCAAGCTTTTGATCGTACTTCTTTTAGAATAATAATGTGCATTACCAGAACGCTGTTGATTCATAACACGAACGAACAGGGATCAATAATCGAACAGTGGACTTCAGGAGTTGTGGAGAGAAGTGAGACTTGAAAATTGGAAATGAACGTACATCTATTACATGATTGTAAGTTATTGTTCAAAATGAGGAACAGAGTTGGAGTTAAGTAATCCGTTGGATGGATGACGGAGAGAAGTGTTGAACGAAGAATTTAATAAAAATAGATCAAACACCTGTTACGAAAGCAGAGTTAAATAGGCTCTTCTGTCCACAGTCCTCGATTTAAATTTGGGATAGTAAGTTGACTGTGCATTCATGCTCTTTTATATGCTGCCTGATGATGAGTCTGTTGTTCGCCTGGAGACACTGATTAATTCATTTGGAAATGTGTTAAGAAGTGCGGGTAATAAGTCACCTCACGTTTTGACTTGCCTATAAGCATTAACATATATGTGAATATGAAACCGTAGATGAGCAACAAGTTAACAGAGAGCGATAAACGATCCCCTCTAAGCTTAGTGCAACATGTTCGGCCTCTTCAAGGAAAATCGAAATTATTCTAGGTATATTTTCAACTTCATAGGAAACTGAGTAAGCAATTAGGTTTGTACACAAATCAAAAGGTAAGAGTCATTTTTAAGTTAAAAATACTTCTAATAAAACGCGCCTCACTTTGTCAGAATTTGTTGTATGCATCGGATAAGTGCTTTTACACTCCCTCTTAATAATTTTGAATTTGTGACTCCCTACCTACAGAGGATCATTTGATGCAAAACTAAGGAAAGAACTCACCCAGAGGGGCATTCATGAGGGAAGATTCTCTTACCAGTGCTCAATATTGTTCATGATGTTATTAGTTGGGATTGGCAGTTAACTTATTTGCGATGTGTTTTTCTTGGCCACTGACGGAACGTCAACGTTGCCAAATACACACAGGCTTTCACATGGTTTTGGTCAAGATGAAAAGACCTCAACAGTTATGTGGGCACGAAAAGATCAGTTCACCGTTTCATTTCTGATCATGAGAGATCATTTTGGAAGCAAGGAAAAATGTCATGATTTTGACTGAAGTTAGGACTCTATGATAAACTAGTTGGTTATTCGTGTGATGAATGCAAATGGCTATTTGGCTATTCGTTACACTTGTCTTGTAATGATTCTTTATGCTGTAGTTGATCGTGTGGGAGAGATGTTTAATCCTCTCCACCCATCAACACCACCACTAAAACCACCGACGCTGACTGAAGACAAGCAATGTTTGAACATTACTGTAGATGGGGGCAAATAAGTATTGAAGAGTCGAGAGGGAATGTTCCCGCTAGTAGTCAGTAGTTGATCACAGTTGGCAATCGACGGGATACTCAATAAGTCCAATACGAATCATAATTACTTCGGATGCAAAATGGACTTACACTTTCAAGTTCCAAACTTTGCACTTTTTCCGTCTTGTCACTCAGTTGGGTTAAAACAACTTCGTATTTCTTTTGCAACGATTCACGATCCATTAGTTCCTTGTCCTGCAAATACAGAGATTGACAAATGCGATTGATCATTTGAAAATATTAAGTAACATTCAGTAACATTGGCGAACGTCTGTGTGATGGCCCGAAAAACACTACAAAACATGGGGAATTCCAAGTGTTTGTCGTTTCAAAGCTTTCAGGCCATGCGGATAGGCCATACATTCGAGTCCCATAACTGTCTACTTGATTTCCCTTGCAATCTATAATTTCTCATACCTTCTGTACCACACATACATCCTAGTTCCTTGTTAACCATTAAGATACTTTCTAAGACTTTGAACGGTTGGCACTCAGTACCGAATTTTAAAGATTCTTACTTCATTGATCGATTCATCAAGTATGTTCTGATGAACACCTGAACTCAAGCATGTTTTGTATTGGTACTTGCTAGATTTGATAAAAAAGTCTATGGAAAGAGACCTTGAGTTGTTTTCGGATTCAGGAATTAATTTACAGAAAGAAATAACAAAGAAATAACAATTATCCAGTCAAAAAATTATTCAATTAAATAAACCTTTAACCCAGAATGGCAATCCAAATGGAATTATCAGCGTATGTGGAATGCGTGGGAGAGGCAAACGATTCTAACATAAAATTGATCAGAAGTCAAGTTCAATCTGATAAATGCTTATACAGTTTTGTGCCTCTCTGTAGCATGTAAACGTTGTTGCCCTACTGGATAAAAATACTTCAAACAGAAAACAGAGTTCATGCGCTGAGTCACTATCTTGATAGGCTCTTGTGGTAAAATTAAAAGCCAATTTAAAATTGAAATGATCAGATAAATGAAATCAATCAATCAATCAATCAATCAATCAATCAATCAATCAATCAATCAATCCATCAATCCATCAATCAATCAATCAATCAATCAATCAGTCAATCAATCAATCAATCACTCGATGAATGAATGAATCAGTCAATTCATTGATCTATCAACCAAGTGAACAATCAGTCAATTAACCAATCAGTCAAGTAATCAATCAGTCGGTCAGCCAATGATTCGGTTTGGCTTGTAGTGTCGGTACTGTTCACTGTTGTCAATGGAATGACATTTTTCTTGAGAAACACGAGGTTAGTAGAAATGAACCGGTAAGTCTTTGCAGTCAAAGTTTTATTGATTTTGCTGCCTGTTTTTATTTTCCAATGATAGGTGGTTTTGAGTTCTGCTGATAATTTACATCACCGAGTTTCAAAAAAGTGTGAACTGGATTCATGCCAATGTATTTCAAAATACTTTGAAGCACTTGGCACCAATTACAAACTTTAAATTCAATGAATTATATAAATTAATTTGAACAATTATTTGGTTAACTGGTTTTCAGTTATTCTCAAGAATTTAACCAATATAATCTGCACCTAACACCCGCTCTTTCCTTCTTCTCAATAGGTTATAGTTTGGGGGCGACTGTTTGATAATCATCTAATATTAGATAAAAGTAAAACGTGCCCTTTGGCGGTTTATTGGGAGCACACATTCATTAATTCTAAATCAGTTGAGAATCGTAGTAATGCTTGGAGCTCAGCAAGGTGAGCCTGAATTGAAACAACTAGCAATAAAGAAAGTGTGTTCCACTAGATGGCTATAAAAAATAAAACCCCACAAAATGAACAGGTAAAAAGAACTAAAACAAAACTAATTTATCGTGAAGCGAGTTGGCAAATTGGAAAAATTGGAACAAAAACAGCAATCAGTTTTAAAATAATATTTTTACCTTGGTAGAAAAATCAGAAACAACTTTTACCTGCTATCGGGTACCCGATTTATGCGAGTTTAAGGGAAGATATATTGTTCTATTATTTTACATTCTAATATTCCTTCCAATTTGAGACATACACGATCCAAAGGATTGGTAAGACGTCTTACAAACTCCCAGACCATTCTTGTTCAACCATCCGCGTAAAATACAGCCTCGCATTTTTCTAGTTCAACAAAACGTCACAAGTCAAAACAATCCTTGGGATAATATCAAACCGCGCTCTCTCTCTCTCTCGGAGAATGAAAACAAGATGTCTACTAGCTGATGATCGGTTTGCGATAAGAAAATAACAATACAGGGCAGTCTCGCTTTTAATGAGCAATCAGTTCGATTAGGAACGATCGTAGAGCGTCTGGGATTGTTGGAAACAATGTGGACTGATCGTAGCTCGGGATGCGGATTTTGGAGTTGGTGTGTTCTCCCAGCTGGAAGTGTTAGTCGCAGACGTTTCTTAGCCGGGCTAGGAAACATCATCAGTGAAACTTGGGTTTAAGCCACTGCTGATGTTGCCTGGTCTGGCTCCAAAAGTCTGCGACTAACACTTCCAGCTCGGAGAACACACCAACACCAATGGCTAGGATTGTATTTCAGCACCGACGATAACATGGGGAAAGCATTGTAAACAACGTTTGGCGTGTTGTACGAATGAGTTCCGGAAACTTTCAGTCAGTTGAGTTCATACAGATTAAATTTCAAATCGAAGTCGGACATGTCATCCACTGTTCGCATATCCCATTAGCCCATTGATGTTATGGAAATTTCACTGTGATCAGAATTTATCAGCTATCTGAATTGGTTCATATTGGTTTGCTTCACGTCAACACTTCATGATAGAAGACGCATCCCATGAGAGTAAACATCTTTGTCTAATACCACCAGTCGCGTTAACAGGTAAACAAGAAATGTGATCAGCAATTAATATAAAGTTATTTCAAAAACAAAACTAAAAGCGATTCGTTGAAACCAAAGACAAAGTTTCTAACTCGTGTCAAACGTTTTCGGACGCACAGGATTGACTTGAGATTGGTGGTCGATAAGGACTTCAATGTTCGTAACCGATGTGAATCGTGACGTAACAAAATAGGTGATATAATTTTTATTTATTTATCCCAAACGGAGAATTTATCGAAAAGTAATCAAATCCATAATACGCGCGTACTGACATTTAACTCATTTTAATTGCTGCTCATCTTTTGGTGAGACATATTTGAATTTTAAACGGGAGGGAATTTTGTGAGCTGGTTTAGGGAACATTATACGTTTGTTCTTAAAACTGAAAAAGGAAAACAAGTTATCGTTGAATTCTGTGAAAAGCATGATACCTATCGTCTGACGATGGCGTACATCCAAATGGATTTACTTTAAAGTGAGTTACAGCTGTATCGCGTGACACAAGGCACTGAGGCTTAGAGAGTTCACATCTAACTGCAGATTGCGTGTGAGATTGACCAACTTTAACTGTTCACTATGGGTGATTGGAAATCAAACCTTTGTGACGTTTGTGGTCATTAGTTTAATCCCCCAAATAAAAAGATTCAATACTGAATAGAACATCATCAAAGCTGATATCCCTTTGGGAACAAGCACCACAGGGATTAACCACTTTTTGCATTCAATTGTTTGCACTACGACACAGAGAATGAATTCTAAAGGTCTGTCAGTTCTTCACTCTAGTAACTGAAGGCGTAGTCCTGCTTGATCGTTCAAGTATGCTCTAGAATTATGTCCTAAATTTGGGGCCAATTGTTACATGGTTCTCTATCCCGGATGTAGGGCTTGTTGTGGAAAACCGTAAATTGCAGGTGGAAACTGTGATTGCTTATTGCGAACATGTGGCATATCTTGATCCCGGGACACAGCGAGCATACACTGGAAGGATTGGGTGATTTTACGAACGGGGTGCGCACTCGAACAATTTCTTGTGCAGTGTAGTTTCACAACTGGTGACGAAAGTTCTCACCGTGAATGTGATTGAGACATTGGGCTCAGCAGGCAGAGGTTCGCTGTTGCATGCTAGTAACAGTGGTATCACTAAGAAGCGTTTCTACTAACTGTCATTGTGGACATGCACTTCAGTTTCTTTGCTACAGTTCACGCGTTTCGACGATGGGATGAGTAAACGCTTATGTGATCACTATGCATTGCGAATCCTGTCTCCTAATTGATTTCCAAATCGGTAAATTTTGGTTTGATGTTCTGCTTTGGAACAGATTAGTTTTAAATACATCAAAAAAGCTGGTGAATCATCATGTTACATATTTTTCGGATATCGTCAATCACGTCTTAACTGATTGTAAATAAACTAACTCATTTGTTATCATCATACCCTTGTGTTATGAACACCCTAAGAATTGTAGTGTTGAACAATATAAAGCCTTATTAGGATAAGCTTAGCATTAGACTTGGTGATAGCTAAGTTGCCTACGACCACAGGTGGGGATGGACTTCAAACTTCGTACGATAGGATTTAAAATATACCAGTGACTCGACTTGGACCCCCTAAAAACTGAAAACAATGTACCTGTTTTTACGGTAAAAGCTCAACATCAGTCCTCTACAGACCGAGAGCGCTACGAGGAACTATAATCTAGTCCCTTTTGTGGTGATTCAACCTTCCAGAATGACTTCAGGGTAGGGGATACGTGTTACAATTTCTGGACAGTGAAGCGCAGGTCAATTTTATCGACCACTCAGAAGCCGTGCGGTTAATAAAAGCTGTGTGATGAAGATAATACAAGCATGTGATTGTTGAAGATATGTTTTATCAATGACAAAGTTCTTTTTATACACATTATTCAATCCCATTCAATTTTGTGAATAGACTGAACTGCTGCTTCTGTGGCCTTCTTTCTTGCGGCTTGGCGACCGGAGATTTCGGAATATNATAATTGCCAGCACCACTCCCTGTTTCGGTAGCGATTCGAGATTCGTAGTTTGTACTTCGTGTCTACTTTGATCGTTACACTTTTAATTTTCTTTTGTGTTCCACTCATCCTATTCACCTTCACCTCCTAATAGTTGTTTTCCAAGACCATCTCGATTTACGCCAGGGGGGAAGTTGATTGCATTTCAACTGGTACAACACGGTGGAAACACATCAGTCCAAATAGTTTGCTAGTCTGATAGTCAGGTGCGCACAGATACGACCGAACGAAGTGATGATTACACGTTCAACACTGTAAAGATAGTGACCATGTGACTAATATCGACAAATCGTGCCATATAGCTCTGTTGTCTTTCCTCTTTCTAAACCTTTTAATAATGGTCATATAGCACCAGCCCAGCACCAGCACACACACTGCGACACGTCACACATAATATTTGCTCAAGAGTAGGCAAAAACTGTAAAACCCAGGGTAAATTCGGTGAAATGCCGCTGAAAATCGACCTAAAACTTAAATCCGCAAATAGTTTCGATATTTTTATTACTCAATTGGTGGAAGATTGAGAGCAGTATTTGAAATACCTTGATGGTTTTCAATCCGCAAATCTCAAATAAGCTCACCTTTTTCAGAAGTTCTCCTAAAAGACGAGTACGCTGACATTTACATTTGCAGACTGTGCTTAAAAACTCCAGTGTATCAATGTTTTAACTTTTTTATTTACTGTGTTATTGAACTCCCTTACTCCATGTCACATTCCCATGCTCGATTTCCAAAGGGAATAGCCTTAGTCAAACATTTGGTAAAATGAATCTACGAATAAAATAACGACTCTTATTCATTATTAGGCTAGTTTGTTGATACCGCATTTCCAAGCCAATGAACAGTGACAGTTTCAAGGCGCCATAGACCCGCACCACAGTGTATCACAACTCCCAATCTCAACAGACTGCAAGGAACAGATAACTGACGAATTAAAACAAAAGCCTGCTTAACTGTGTTTAGACCATCAGATTTCCGACGTACCCTAGTATAAATCTAATTTTAACGGTTCCTTTCTTACAATTCTCGTTTCTATTGCAAGGGATGCAGTATCCATTCGTAACGCAGGAACAGCGGTGTCGATGAAAACCTAATGCAGTACTGGAAAACTAGAGCGGTCATAAAAGTCGAACGGATCTGGAAAAATATTCTTCGGCAAATCAGACCCCATCGAACACAGAGTGAATTCGACCATTTTGGTGAACACTGTTCGTGGTAATCACTCACCTTCTCGGCTTCCGTCAGCCGCAGCAAATTTGACTTCTCAGCCAGGGTGTTTGTGACCTCCTTCAATTTGTCATTTGTTTCGTTCCGTTCCAGTTTGATCTTTTCCAGTTGAGCATTCAAATTCATAATCTGTGCAACGGGCAATCAGAGATGGATCAACTAGTGAATATATATTGATTCAATCCATTAAGAATAGATACAAAGCTAAATACATGATGGATGAGCTCGCAGTTCCCAAACAAAAATAGCTGCTTACAACTATGTATATTTTCCGCGAAAAGAAAACAAATGACCTTGAAACTAGCTACACGCGAATCAGGTGATTGATTTTACACCGGTAGTCTGGTATCATCAGTCATCTGGTTATCTGTTCCGGTAGAAAGCGGTACCTAACGGGTGGATAACGATATACATTTGTCGAGACGTTGAGACTTTTGGAGAAAAACCTTTTCATTACATATCAGCTTAACCGGGTCGGTTGAACTGAGGAGTTTGGGGAAAAATGCACTGCATCCAAGCACAACCCAAAGTGTTCTAATGTCAGACCTACATCGAAAGAGCCAAATGTTACGCGTTCGAGTGAACGGTAGGTTGGTTGTGTGGTAGAGGCTGTCAAAATATTTCGACAAACTGGATGATGCTGTGCGCTCAGTGGATACGTCTCTGACGTTGAAAAGTGTTCCTTCTTCACCGTAATGTAAACTGTTGACTTTTGACGTTGATCAACGAACTTTCAAACTAAACGAGTTATTAACGTATGCAGTGAAAAATCTAAAAATAATTTATACACTATATCATAAAATCTAGTTTGATTTATCACAATACGTCTCCATAGCAGACTAACTGCATATTATTTAATTACAAGTAATATGGATTGGCCTAGTATTAATTAGCACATATAAGTGCCGATGTGGACAAAAGAAATTTCCTTAGTTGTATTATGGATAAAGAGTCAAAGAAATGTTTAAACGGCTTAAAAAAAGGCTAACAAAAGCCATAGCAACTATGATGATTAGAATGAGTGGTTCATATCGACGTTCATAGGAAAAGTTTAGAAAAAGAATTACTGCAGCTTAGATGGAATTGGTCAACATTTTGATTTGTTTCATACATCACATTTTGGTAGAAAAGATAAGCAGTCGCCTGTTAGAAGTATATATCACACTACTGCGCTAAGATGAACTTTCTCTTTTAATTCAAGGGTCCTGCTCCAGATGCCGACTGATCAGACGTTATGCTATATATATCAATGCGTTTTCCCCATTTGGGTAGGCAGTAAAGGTAGAATCGCTTTGCGGTTAGTCGATTATAGTCCAGAGATTGGCAGCGAACCTATTAATGGCAGAGTATCCGCGCTCGAAATTGATATATCCAAAACCAATCATGCAACCACCGGTCTGTACGTCTTCGCAGTGTCTGGCTAGTTATTGAAGCATCGAACTGGGCCTATGGGTTACTTTGCATCTGAACTACTGCTTTTATTATTCTTGTAATTTAAGATGATCGATGCATTCATTACTAAAGTAAACTACTTTTTCCAGCTGAGCTAAATAAAGTATGAAGTAGGCTGACGCTCTTATATAGAGAGTGACTTCTCCAGATTAAAAAGACAGAATTGAAACATTGAACTCCGGTTTATTGCGTGTCTCAACTCGAGAACCCTTGGTTCCGACAATGCAAGGAATCTTGCAAGATAATGTATGAAACAACAATTGGGGATGCACATTCACTTGTATTATTGGTGGTAGACAGCTTTATTGTCGTCCGGTTCTATACCACGCAAGCCTTTTTGGATAGAGTGCTAGTGTAACCAGGTTCGGTATGCGTTTTGCACCTTCAATGTGTAAAATATTACTTCAAGACTGGGTTGGTCCAGCACCCAGCCTCACTGTAACCGGAGGAGTAATAGATCAAGTGGATACGTTTTGTTACTTGGGTAGCTACATCTCACCCGGTGGACGCATCACGGATGAAGTCTCAGCTCGCATGCCGAAGGCCTGGTTAACATTTGCCAACTTGAGACATCTGTGGCGCCGTCGCGACATCCAGCTGTCTGTGAAGGGTCGAGTGTATGTCACGGCAGTTCGGCCAGTTCTGCTATACGGCACAGAAACTTGGCCATTAAGGAAACAGGATAAAGATAGACTGTCGGTGTTTGAACACCACTGTCTACGCAGCATTTCACGAATCTGGTGGGGCAGCCGGACGAGCAACACTGAGGGTAGGCGCAGAGTTTTGGGTAACCGCGGTCACCCACTGGAGCAAATGGTCGACCTCCATAGATTACATTGGTTGGGACATGTGTTACGCATGCCACTAGATAGGTTGCCACGACAAGCGATGTTCGCCCAGGCAGGTAATGGGTGGAAAAAGATCAAGGGTGATCAAGCCAAGACCTGGCATGAGGGTATGAAAACCCGAACCAGGAGTCTAAGTCACATAGGTCCCGTTAGGCGCTCTGGATGTGGACCTCGGGATGATCATACCCGATGATTAGAGACATTGAGTGATATGGCTGGGTATCGTAAACAGTGGCGTTCGTGTATCTTGTCTCTGCAAAATTAGTGTAATGAAATCTTGAATTTTCTCTTCGATCCTAATTTCAACCTTTCCTGTCTTCCTCCTCATGTTCATCCAAATGGGCAACCAAAATACAGCAACCAAAACCGGCGCACGACAGTGCATGGTTAACGGTTGTAAAAACTCTATACCACGCCTTACCTAGCGGGGCCTTATATGGTTCACCACTCCAAGTTCCGGGATTTAGGTTACTGGTTACCATCAATGAACAGCAGATCTTCGTGACTATGAGGTTCCATTGCGTCTGCCGTCTACCGGTGTGTAATAAAAGGTTATTCCCAATTGAGAAATTAATTATAGATGTTCTGAGGGGTGAGAACTAAAGAATAATACACACGATCAAATGATATTTTAGAACGGAACTGTTTTAAAAACAGTGATTTATTCAAATTAGCACAAAAGGCAGTACTTGATTTTGGGATTACTTCAGTTAATTTTCATTAGATAACAGGAGCTCAACTTCGAGAATCGGCGAAAATTATCGGAGATCAGAATAAAAATGTGGTATCATAGAGGTTGAATTTAAAGCAAAACTAACTAAACAGTAAAATACCTAAATATAAATTTAGATACAAAGCAGGAACGTCTATGCACCCGGGTATTAGTCTTACGTACCAATCAATTCGAATTATTAGTGACTTCAAGGGCTTGAAGTGCTGCTAACCCAATTGAAAGTCACCCAAAAGTGGCACAGTCAAATGCGCATATTTCAAACCGGATTGAGAAGATAAGTTAGAAGTAGTTGGGATAAGATACGAAGCTTATCAGCGCATTTTTACAAAACTGAATAATTACCGATTTTGGTTGACCATCTTTAGATTTCACATTCATACATGATAATTAACTGATCCGGTCACTCTGATATTCAGAATACACCAGAGTCCGGCTTCACTCCTACTAGAGCCCATCATTTGTGCTCATACGGGGTCTGAACCTAGAACCTGTTGGAAGAAAAGTGCTTATTTACATCGTGATATTGAAGTTGCACGGAGTTTGACTGGGATTTAATACTGAGGTTTGTTTAGATCTGATGTTCCGTACGAGTCATCCGGTCATCTAATCGGAAACTTCAAAAAGAGATATTATATCATGTGTTTGATTAGGCCAAATATATCCCATCCAATTAACTGTTACATGCGGGAATATCAGGTACGCTTTGTATAGATTGCTTGTTACATTGTGCCTGTTTACGTTCACCCACCTCCGTTTCTTTCTCAGCTTTGACCGTGACCAGTTCTCGACGAAGTACGGCAAGTTCGGAAAAGTCCGTCGCTGACCGGGACTGAAAGTGGAAGAAACCGGAAAGGTATTACACAAATTTGTCATTTCGGGAATCTTCAGAAAAAAGGAACGTTGTCTCAAAATTTCAAGCCATTTGTAGATCATGGGCATTAAAAGCGGGTAAACAGTGTTCAAGACCAATCTCATCAAAGATTAAGGCTTAAGGTAAGTCACCTTATTTTATGCGACTAGACGTCAGGAAGCAATCGATACGTACCAGCAGATGCGAGACATCTTCACCGTGCAGCTAAGCTTGGACTGATTAGCACGAATCTCGTTGTTTTGGTTAGTGACAGGTTTGGGAGTGGTGTGAACGACCCGAGGAACCATGATGTTGCCACGCGCGCCCCTTGAAGGGTTAAGCTACAACTCTTTGTCACTACGGTTGCATTCTAGAATTTATCGATCACATTGCTCAATATGTTCGTTTTACCCATTTGCACAAAAAAATTAATGTTAAAAATTGAGGATATCGTGATAAAAAGTCATGCTATGTTGTTTGCAGTGTCAGTCACTAGTCAACCACACAAATGCTCCACATGCGGCAAACTCATTCGAGTCGGTTGGCAAACCGCTCTCGGTTGCACTACTCTTAGCAAGGTAACTGTACCTACAATTGTGAGTATCAATGTCCGTTCTTTGTTTGAGAAGCTTCCTAATTTATCCGACTTGTTCCAGCGAAAGAAATTCTCGCACCTCTTGTGTCTTGTATCTCCAGGAGTCATGCTTCAATGATGATGTGGATTATTCCGTGGTTCTACTGGAAAATTTGATCTGTTTCAGATAGGATAGACAACGGATCAGAAAGAAGTTGGTAAGCAGTGTGATGACCTACAATAACTCTAAGTGGTGTGGCAAATTCAAAGTACTTTCTAAGCATTCACAAAATGGCATCAGTTGCCTCACTGTCGTCTACCACCCCAAATTTGCCCGCTCTCTTTTAATCGCCATCATCAATTGGTCTATTGCGCCTCGTTGTAGGCTATCAGATATTGACAGTTTTTATGATGAGTTCTCAACGGGTACTGCCCCACCTCTTGCTGCCAGCTTGGACCTAATAGTTGGTCACTTTAACCACGTATCCCCGTACGATGTATTGTCTAAACCTCAGTAACCTTATTATTGAACCCACTAGAGGAACCTTTCATCTAGATCATATAATCACCAATCGCACTGAAACATTTTCTCTAACACATTTCTCCCCCTTAGGCACAAGTGATCATAACCTTATCCTGGCCATGCCTAAGATTTGGTAACACTTAGGACGTTTTTCATTTACTCAACCTAAACAAATCATGTCCCTTCAGCGAGATCTTTCCCAAGACGATAAGGCGCTGTTAATAAATTCTCCAAAAGTGTTTTCCTTTAAACATAACCTGATTGTTCAAAATGACGTTTCTAACAGGTACGTTAAATCGCGGTTTTGATATAAGCTGTTCTGTGGTAACTTTATTCCTTGAATATGGCAGAATAAACACCTTTTGTTAAAAGTCTTTGTCGTGAGAAGGAACATGCATATAAATGTGACAGGAGAGTTGCAATGCAAAGATTTTCTTTTCTGATCAAGAGCAATTCTAAATGCTTAAGTTCTCTTTATACAAGTAGGCTTTTCGGGAACTGTGAATCTATATAGCGTGGAATCAAAATACTTCGCAGGTAGAAGAAAAGGATTTTCTGTTTTGTAGATATTGAACAAGTGAATACTGCATTTTATAATTCGTCGCCCGACACATGTAACAGTCATACTGACTCGAGTTCTCCAAACATCCCGTCTTCTTTGGAATCCATTACATCTAGCGAAATGAATACACAAATGCGTTCTACCAAGGTGTCGGCCACATCCGGTGCAGACAACTTAAGTCCTGCACTTCTTAAACACGGTGATGAGCCAATGTTCCATATTTTTGCACAGGGCTAGTCTTTCACTCGAACTCCGAACCACTCCAGAGTGCTGACGCTCAGTGAAAATCACACATCCCAAAGCCCAATAGCGAGGCTTTTACTTCCACTGGTTTTAAATTAAAGGAGGGGTAGGTTCTACTTCGCCTTCAGTTATCTCTCACACCCGTCGATAACATTTATCAATTTACATACGGGAATAATCGTTCTACACAGGGTATTGTTTCTTATCTATTGGCCTCATCTGCAAGTCTCTAAACGAGAAACCAAATATAAGCACTGTGCACTTATTGATTATTCTTCCGCTTTTGACTCACTGTCCCGTTCTATTTTACTAAACAAGCTGCAATCGTTTGGTTGTCGCACTTATCTAATGGAGCGGCTTGATGAGAACTTTTCGCAGAGACTGCAGTATGTTAAATCGGAAAAAAGACGATCATCGGCATAACTCAATAATTCGGGTGCAGTACAAGGTGTTATCTTATCACCTTATGTTTTTGTGACTTACATCAGTACACCACCTAATCCTTCCCCAGTAAGACATTTTAGGTTTTCTTATGATGTCGCCAACTCTGTTTCCATATCTACCGAATCAGAACTTTATCCGATCTTAATCTTAATCCCGAAAATACCTTGAATGTGTCCTTTCTTTAAAACGTCCCGCATCTCCCTCCGAAAATGTGCACATTCAGGGAAAGCCGGTGAGCAGTACTTAGGTGTCACAGTTGAAATAACCTTAGCTGGTCCATACATAGTCAAACTGTTTCTCGCAAGCTGAATGTTCTGTTCTTTCAGATGGGAAGATTTACGTTACTTGTGTTCTGATTTGTCGGTGATATATATAATTATATTTAACACCGGTGGGAGCTATTGTTCAAGAATGTGTTCTTCCTCTTCCTCTTTTACTGTCTCCCTGTGCTTTCTTCTGATTTACTGAAGGCTGATTTCATGTTGCTGAGGTGTGGCCTCCCAATGCTCAGCCGTGTCTCCCAAGTTTCGTTACCTGTTCTGATTGGCCATTTGTGAAGTGCTCATATTGATGCGCGCTTGAAGTTTGCTGACAATATTCTATCTGATTGCTCCCACCTTTACACAATTGACCCCGGTGCATGCAAATCCCACTCATTCACCCATTCCAAATTTAAAATCCTCCCAACTTGGATATTTTGCCAAATCCTTAGTACTTTATCTTGCCCGGACACTAACCGTCAAGGAGAGTGTTCATTCTGAACTTTTTAATTCAATAAGTAGATAAATTAACATTTTGCAAGCAAGATTTCCAACTTTTCCCTTTTTTGCAAGCATTGTTGCGGTGGTCACTTTTCGGTTAAAAGCTTTTATATAACTCTCTAATGCCTCAATCTAATACAACAGGAAACGAGTTCTCTGCACTAAAGTAGGACCGGATAAGTGAATATAGTGCAATGATTCATAAAAGCTACAAAGAAGCCGTATTTTCACGGTCCGATCCCATTCGGTTGGAAACTAATCCGGGTATTATCACATAAAAGGGGCAAGCTTACGTGTGAACAAACTGATCGATCGAAAAATGACGGAAAGTTTTATCATTTTACACAATAAACCTTGAACTAACAGGAAGAGATTTCCGCAAGAAATACATTGCCTTCGCATACCTCATCAAACGAAAAACTCAATCACCTCCAATCAATGTCAATGATGAGTAAAAAGGGTCATGTTTTCTTTGATTAAAATAATCTACGCTTTTGAGAATGATCAACCTAGGAAATGCAGTAATTTTTCCAAAGGATGGCGTGAATTAAAAAGAAAATCACGTGACAGTTGAATACTGTACATAAAACCAATTGCCTTTCTATTCTTATTCGAATTCTCGGCTCGAACAACAACATTAACAACCAAGGGATCTATTAGATTGCTTTTACAAACATTTACTCCACAAACTGTTTTTGCGAAAGTATTTCTCAAAGATAACATGTATTGACTTTGCAGTCACTCGAAACAGAACATAAAATGAAGCTTCACGACAAACGAGAATGGTGATTTGTACGGGTGACAGAGCGTCGTATGGAAAGTTGGACTAGCTAATGAAAAAATGCATGACCGGTACTGCGATTCAGTTTATCCACTGTTGAAAAAGTTCCATCTACAGTCCCAGACACCTATCCCTTGGGAGCAGTCTATATGAAGTGAATCATTTCTAGTGCACACCTACTGGAACAGGCAAATAGGTGAGCGGTGAGGACTGGTAAATCAAGGAAAAGAAATTCGACCTGAGAGATCAAAAATGCTTATTTTGGAAAATGAAAAATAGTTGTCAACTTGTTTAAATTTTCCGCATGTTTTACCGTTGTGTACCATAGTTAAATCCTCATATCAGTTAGATTTCGCTGACCTCGTCGGAATTTTGATTAACGTGTTTTGCCTTCAAATATAGATTAAAAGGGTATGGCATTTTGTTGGTGTTGGTGTGTTCTGCGAGCTGGAAGTGTGTGAACAACTCTTCCAGCTCGGAGAACACACCATAAACAACATCCACATCCCGAGCCACAATCGTTCCACATTTTTTTCAGGGTATGGAATTTTCTGTCGCTTGGCTGATGTTATTGTCTAATCTTGTCTGTACTGCCTGGAAGCAATCGTTTAACCCAGTTAGAATTATTCTATATTCGCAAAGTTGTCTAATTTCCCAAGCCAAATCAACGAACGGTTCAGAAACGTTTCTCACAGCAAATGCAGCACGTCTGTGACACCCGTAGTTATGATAATCTTAGGTTTATGAGACCAAACACATCTGAGAAAAAGCTGCACNGGGAGGCTTATTGCCGTTTGTCTTTTCCGAATTTTCAAATTTAACGGTACTGTTCAAAATCTTGAAATCTTTCGGTTTTTTGTTGCTATTTATATTTCATCTCGGTTGGAGGTCTGTCTGATTTACTAGTTAACCTCATTGAGGAGATCAGATTTTCAGGATGCAGAACAGCCTTCCATGAGGCAGTTCACAAAATGTCAACGTATTTCGGCCC